GGCGCGTGCCTGTAATCCCAGCTACTCAGGAGGCTGAGGCAGGAGAATTGCCTGAACCCAGGAGGCGGAGGTTGCGGTGAGCCGAGATCACGCCATTGCACTCCAGCCTGGGTAACAAGAGTGAAACTCTGACTCAAAAAAAAAAAAAAAAAAAAGATCCAGTGGAAAGAGAACAAGGTCTTCAATAAAACAAAACAAAACAAAACACCTGGGTTGAAGCCTTGACCCTGCCTCTCTCTTGCACCAAGGAAAATTTGTGATTTTCTGCAAGTCTTTTATTCTCTCAGTCTCCATTCTCATACTTATTAAATTCCTCATAGAATTAAAGTGATGATAAAATACGAACAATGGTGAAAATGTTTTATAAACAGCAAGGCACATTATACATTTAAGCTGTGACCACTATTGTTATTTATATGTCACTGAAAGACTATCTTGGTTTTTTCTTCTCTGCAAAGAAATAATTTGCATTAATGTATATGTCTTGTAAGCTTCTGCTGTAAATTCTCTTATGCATAACAGCATCTGTATATGCACACACATGCAGAAACTCACAAAGGGACTCCCAAGGACCACGAGGTGTCCTAAACCCTACAGATAGTCCACTTTCCCTTTTTCATTGTGTAGTGTTTAGGCCCAGTATAAAGCCCAGAGTCACTAATTCTCATCCCTCTCCACCCTCTTCTGAGAGCTAGAATGTGCTGCCATATAGCTCATATCACGTCTTCACGCCAACAGAAGAAAAAAGGATAAAATGAAATGGCGGGATGCCTGGAAATCCAAGCCAAGTTGAGGGAAGGCAGAATTAAATAATGGTTAAAGTTAATTATATCACATATATGAATGATGTTTAAACAGGATGAAGTTCAAGAGAAAAGACACAAAAGAGCTGAAAATGAAAGGCCATTAAACAAGACAGAAAGGCAGCAAGGAAATAAGGAATAGTCTATACTCGCAAAGGCCAGAGGTAGAAGGGAAAACCAGTATTCATTCGTCAGGGGAAGAAGTGGAAAGTGATACACATGCATGGTAAGAACATCTAGAGAGTAGTGTCTGTCACTTGTAAGAACTCAATTTATGTTTGATGAATGAAGGAATAACTGAATGAATGAATCAACGGAAAACATACAATTCAAGAGAAAACTAACTAAATCAAGCTCACACAGAAATGGGGCAGTTAAGGGGCCCAAATGGGTTAAAGAGTCTCATAGGGATCAGCAATTCCATTTGAATGGGAATGAAGGAGGGAGGAATGTATTCTTTAAGAGAGGGGAGAAAAGTCCCCAAATGCACTTTCTACCCCATGAAAGTACAATAAATTCTTATAAAAAGGGAGTTGTTACTTTCACTGAAGGTAATTCTTTACAGCTAAAGTTTCAGATATTTTATCTTGTGTTCTAAATGCAAAGGGCTTTCTCCCCTGATTTCTCCATATAATCAGCTTTGCTCTCAAATGGCTCTAACTTAACAATGCTCTTATAAATACACTGATCAAAGTCAAATAATCATAATAGGATCTTATATGTTCTATAACGTTCTCCTTTATGCCTAAAAATCATGCTGTAGAGGACATTTGGGACAGGCACGGTGGCTCAGGCCTGTAATCCCAGCACTCTGGGAGGCCGAGGTGGGTGGATCATCTGAGGTCAGGAGATTGAGACCAGCCTGACAAATATGGTGAAACCCTGTCTCTACTAAAAATACAAAAATTAGCTGGGTGTAGTGGCGGGCACCTGTAATCCCAGCTACTTGGGAGGCACGAGAATTGCTTGAACCTGGGAGACAGAGGTTGCAATGAGGTTGCAATCACACCATTGCACTCCAGCCTGAGTGACAGAGTGAAAATCAATCTCAAAAAAAAAAAATTGGACATTTGACATGGCTCAAGACATAAGAATGAAGCTATATAGTTTCCTCTTAAAATACTACCACTATTACTACATACTAGGTTTTTTCCCATTTTCACAGGATTATTTGGGTTGTTATTCTCTTATCAATGTATGACCTATCACCCCATCACCCTCCTTAATAAGCAGGAATCCACTTAATGTGCTAAACTAGGCTGAATGGGGTTACGCCACAGCTTGAGTATATTCTGCATTTACCGACTCATTCAGCACTAATGCATACACAGAGGAAAAGAAAAGATGACACAATTCCTGACCTTTAGGAACATTGCATAGCTGATGAAACAAGACTTCACACATGCGACAATTCAATAACAATGCGTGAAAGTCAATAATTAATTGACAGCATAGGAAAGGATATGTGGGAAGTTCCTAGGCAGTGGGACATGTGTTGGTTGAAGCATGAAGACCTTGCGGATAGAGAAGAATTTAATTAGAGTCCTGCTGGATGAGCAATATGAAAAGAGATGGAATGGAGAGAGAAAGGGATCCCATGCTGAGAGATGAGTGCAGTGCTTCGGATGGAGGTTTCTACAGGATCGAGGAGTGCTGCACCATCAAGACAGGGACAGGGGGAAAAATACGAGGGTCTGAAAATGAGACAATGAGTAGTATTACCACCCAATGGCAGGAAGATAACAAGAAGCTAAAACTATTCCCTCTTTTTCTTTTCTTCAATATATAAATCATCTTGGCTAAGAGTGGGCCTTTCTGCGTTCATTCATTCATTCACCAGTAGATGTGGGCTGACATACATTTAGGTGCAAGAGGCTACAAAATACTCCCTTTCCTTGAGAATCACACAGAATAGAAGGGACAGACAAAAAAAATCAGTGTGTTCCATGTATTATGAAAAGTGCTATGATAAAAAGATACATGGGGGATGGATGATAAGGGAGCAGAGAGGGACACCTCAGTCATCTTCAGGGGCCAAAGACTGACAACACTTCAGAGAAGGAAAAGCAGTCTTAAAAGGGAGGCAGAAGCTGCCTAATGTATGCAGAAGGGCAAGGGGGTCCAGGAAGAGATAATGGCAACTGCAAAGGCATAGGGGTGAGAGAGCTGGGGGAGGAGGGCCTGTTCAAAAGGGAACAAATGAGCAGGGGATGAGTATGGGTCACTGATAATCTGACATACAGGAAACTAAAGCCCTGTGAGAACCTATCCCATCTCTGCAAATAATTTACAGTGGGATGTTGAATGACTTCCTTCTCTGTTTTCAATGTCTTGATTAGAGGCAAATTTAACTCTGACCATTCTTCACTTTTGAATGCTGAAGTCAAAATTATGTCAATACACTAATAATCGTCTTCAAGTTTTATTTACTAGACTCACAGGAGCTTGAGGATAAAATGGAAGGCATCTAGTTCAACCTCCTTTCCAGCCTAATATAATTCTTCTAAGCATTCCAGGCAGGTGGCCATCCAGACGGAAAGAAATCTATCCAGCTCCAGGGAGCTCTGTCTGCCTCAGGAAGCAGCCAATTCACTACTGAACATCACTTGTTGTGGGAAAGTTTCTTCTTAAACTGAGACTAAGTATGCCTTCCTGTAGCTTCTACCCATTTCAACCCCCTAGAGTGACTGAAAAAACAGCCAACTGTGCCTCCTATATGCAGATTGTGCTATATGACATTTATAATAGTGAACTGAGAACTGTCCATTTTCTTCACTAAAGGACTTCCTTGTTAACAACTGGCTTAGTTTTGATTAATTAGGTTCTCCAATTTAATGTACCATCTTCCTTTTCAGGAAGACCCTGAAGGGACATCTGTTACTGGTAGCGATGCTCCATTTATCTCCTTTACTGATTAGTAATACCTTATGTTTGCAAAATATTTCACTTCTTCCTAAGCATCTGCACATAAATTATCACATTCTAATGTCATAGGAAGGTTGCTACACCAATGCATGTTATCTTCACAAAAATCTTTGCATCTGTTTTAAGATACAGTATAAAGGACATGTCTTAGAGAATCCTAGGTTTAACAGAACAAAGGCTAGGAGATGCCAAGGATCTAACTTATTTTACAAGATGAAAGAAAATGTAATTATCATAACAAACTCTGGCTGTCTCTTCAATTACGGACAAATAACTGATACTTACCTTACCTATGGACCACATATACTCCTATTTTACCAAACCATTTGTATAATCACAGGTACTCATGCAACAAACCTAGAGACCAAATGCCTGGCACTGGGACTGAGGAAGAGGTTGGAAATGGAGTTAAATAAGGCATAGTTTTAACTCATCCTATTAAATGTAGAACAATGACTTAGTCACAAAGATGGTTTGGTGTCCTGTAAAAGATGGAAGGGAGGTCATGGCAGAGAAGAGGGGTGAGTAGTGGGGGGAAAACAGACTGTAAACCCTACACATCCAAGCACAGTCTCCCTCAAAGCCAAGTACAAAGGGACAGCTCTATGGTGGTGCTTCACAGGCTATAAAGGACAGGACCCAGAAATCCTCATGTTCCAGAGAAAAACTAGTTTTAGGGAGCTAAGTACATGCCCTGCTACTAGGATTAAAATGACAGTGGCTCTTACCCCCAGTCAAACCAAAAAGAGATGTATTTGTTACTCCAAAAAGCACTGTAAGAATTAAGACTCCTCTTGGCCTCAGCAAGAAATGGGTCTGAGTAGATGTGTGATTCCCAACATCAAGGGTCCTGTGGAGTGGTTCTATGAAGCATGCAATGTTTCAACACAATGAACATGTTGTTTAAGCACCTACAAGATTCACTGCAGAGGATCAAATGATGTGCCTACTCTTGACAGACGCCTCACTGCCTCCCTCCCTATCTATATACAGAGGGGCATATTTGCTTGTATAGTTCGCAGCCCTCATAAGTGTACAGGCATCCTTGTAGAAAGAATCTGTAAGGGTTAATGGCTTAACCTGATGACACCTGGTTTCGATCTGAGGAAAGATATATGTAAATACCAAGTAACACAAATAGTTCAGTGATTTCTTCCAGAGAAACAGGAAAGGACTAAGTTTCTCATGGGAAAACAAACTGCATGCGCAAAATGTACCTTAGATGATGCTAACAAACGAGGAGAAAACTCGACAAACGAATGACAAACTAACCTTGTTGGCAGAGTACAGCAACCATCCGCGGTGAGTCTGACTTGAGTCTCGTAGCTATCTGGGGGACACGCGGTCTGCTGAACAGGAGGGCATTCCACAGTCCTGCAGTCCACACCGAAAACTGAAAGGGGGCAAACAGAGAGGCAGGGTTTATTGTTACATTGACTTGCTCTGGGAGTCCCTCAATGAAATATTAGCTCTTGACACATTTCGAAAGTCTCCTTGCTTCTAGAAGCCCAGTCCCAGTGTCAGCATGTTACTTCGGTTAATGCTCCAGAGCTACAAGATGCCTCAAATTTTCTGTGTCAGGAGAGAGGTGGGGATGAGATAATAAAAGAGTTACAATCAAGACAGAGAAAGAATTAAACCAGCAGTGGTTACATGAATGGTGACAGTTAGCCGGAGGCATTTCTGAGTGATAGAACAGTTCAAGAGATGGACAAGGGATCACTTTGCTTAGAGCATTTATCTAGCAGTTTAAAAAAAAAAGAAAAGAAAAAGAAAAGCCCAAGCAAAAAAAAAAAAAAAAAAAAAAACTGGCCGATGATTAGAAACTTGCAAAGAGGAAATCACTGTAACTCAGAAGTGTTCACAGACCACATCGGAAATGCTGCCACAAGAGCAAGGATGTTAGAAATAATATAAAGCAAGAAACAGCTGGGACACAACAGTACATCAAATGTTGGCAAAGAGGGTGAGTAAACAGTCAAAGATGACTTGGCACATGCTATAAAGTGAAGAGGGCAGATGGGGGGGAATTGGCAAAGAGAAAGATGGGGGCTGAGTGTTGTATTGTAAAACTTCTGGCATTTTGATGCATGTATTCATCTAAAAATAACTTTCTGTTTTATGTGTGACGATTGTTTTTAAATGTAATAATTCAAAGTGGCAGATACAGCTGCAAATAAGGTCTCTGACCTCTGGGGGAAATGAAGCAGATTGCTCTAGTACCATAAATTTTAACCCTACCTCCCCAGTCAAGCATACTTTGAAGGAAAAAAAGAAGAAACGAGGAAAAGACACGCTCGCTCTCTGAAGGCACTTATGTACCAGTGGATGATCACTCTGGTTCTCTGACTAGAAGGCCAGGAGTCAAGCTGCCATTAGCCCAAAGTGGCAGATTCGCAGTACACCGGTGAGAAGGCCCATCTTGGTGTGAAAGGAGAGGCCAGCGGTGGCTGAGAAGGGATCTGCTACCCTCTGATGCAAAGGAACAAGGCTGCTGAGACAGAGCTCGTGCATACCTGGTTTGCACTCATAGAGGTCACAGCACTCTCCCGGCTTCCCTGAGGCTTTTGACACTAGTATGTTCAGGTTTCCCGGCTGGCAGACTTTGCGCAGACAGCCTGCGGGGTTGCAGACGCAGCGGCTGGGTAAGGGACAGCACTCCCCGGGAGGGGCATAACCCTCGATCAGAACAGAATCTTCAGGACAACGTGGAGAGAACTGGACTTCACAGCGGGCCTTGGAGCAATCTGGCTTCTCTTCTAAATGGGAGAAAAAGAATTTAGCTTATGCCCAGGGAAGCGTGGGGCACTTTCATCAGAAGCACAGACAGTCCTGATGATCTGTTTAAGCAGCCAAAGAAGAGGGTAGGAAAAGAAATTCAGTGTCAACCTGCAAACCTAAACTAACAATGAAAACCTCACCCAAGATCTGCCCGTGACACCAAAAATGTGAGCCTGAAGTTCCCTTCTTCTCCATCTTCCTGCCCACGTGTGTTAAATAATCAACATCTAGAGCAATGACCAACATGAAGAAAGTCGAAGGGAGATGCACGCATGGCATGGAGAATCTGAAAACTGGACCCATTATTTGACTAACTGAAAGATCTCTGAATTCAAGACTTTTAAAGGCTGTTCTTTGAAAACAGTGTACCTTAAAACAAACAAATCATGGCTACTTCAGAAACTGGAGACAAAGTGTATGACAATCAACATGGAGGAATTCTACCCGAGTTTTCACGGTATTCTATTAAGAGTCTGTGACTTTATGACGTGGCAGCTTAGCAAGATGGATAAAAATTCCCATGTAATTTCCTGAAATGGCACCTGATGTGTTTCTATCTCTAGCAGAGCTCCATCAAATGCACCTTATTCCCCTCTCTCTAGTATTAGCTGCCGACCTATTGCTGTATCTCAATTTTAGAGATGAGAAAAATAAAACAAGATCGGGTTACTCAGATTTTATGATGGGGGAGCAAAGCGCTGGCTTCTGGAATCGTAGTTCACAGTTTCCCTTCTTGGGTTGAGTTTTAAGAGACCTATATGAACATAAGGCCCTTGAGGAAAAGGCAAGAATAAACTAAAAGACATCATCACAGCCCAGGACCTTTGGTGGAAGATGGGGAGTTCAGGAAACGTTAGAGGAACTGATGCCAGTTAATACTGGGCAACATTTCTTAGTGCTAGTTGTCTTTCCTAAAGTAAAACCCAAACACAGAATTGCTTAGTAGGGTAAGAACCAAGAGGTAACTAGTTTAGTTTCCTCATTTTGTAGATGAAGAACCTGAAGCCCAAGAGCTCAAGTGACTTGGCTAAGGTCAGTGGTAAACTTAAAGCAAGAATCCAGGTCTCCTCATTCCAGTCCACTCAGATCTTGGTATCACAGCAGTGGATCTCCTTCTAAAACCATAACTATTCCTCTAGTCATTTTTGACCTTGATTGCTGTATCTTCCCTCTTCCTTATCTATTTCTTGTCTACCTAAGACATAATATAGGGGACCCTTCATACTTACAGTTCTAGTAAATTCACTGAAACATGGCTGAGCACCTGCTGCTCTGGCAGCTTGGGATATGTCAGTAAAGAGGAAAGACATAGGTCCCTGACCTCATTAGTTGACATGGTAATGGAGGGTGACAGAAAATAAGTAACAAACATTATAAAGAAGTAAATTATACACTAGTGAAGGGTAATATGTGCTATGAGGGGAAAACAAGAACAGAGTAAGAGGGAATTGGAGTGCTTGGAAGAACTAGGGAGCAGTTACAATGTGGTGAGAATGGGCATGATTGAGAAGCTGATGGCTGAACAAAAACTTGAAGGAGTGAGGGGGCAAGCTATGGAGACACTTGAGAGAAGAGCATCCCAACAAAAGGAACTGCTGATGCAGGCTTGTGTGTCCCAGGAAGAGTAAGAAGGTCACTGTGGCTGAGGCAGGAGCAAGTGAAAGGAGAAACAGGAGTTGAAGGTGTATGAGCAGCAGGGGTGCCTGGTCATTTAGAACCCCTTGTGCCATTTTAAAGACTGTGGCGTTCACTATGAGACAAATTAGAGCTTTGATTATATAGCAGGAGGAAGAGAGTAATTCAGAAAAACAGGTCCCTTCTCAGAATGGGAACCTGGGCAACAACAGGAAGGCACACAGTATTTGGGGAGGAAGGAGACGTGGAAGGAGATTGGAAAGGCACCTGGAAAGAAAGAATATGGAGGAAGACAGACACTAGCACTATTTATCACAGCTGGGTTCAGGGTGTGTTGGAGATGGAGATAAGCAGTCTTAATATTGCCTGCCTTTTGCCACCTACCTTATGACTACACTTAATTTTCCTGTTGGGTAGAATGCTACTTCACTGCACCTGTGTCTCAGTCAGGGGAAACATTCAACTGCAGGCCTCTACCCTTCTTTGTGGCTACCACTTACAATGCCAATTCTAATAAGCAGCTGAAAGCAGAATGGAAAATAAAACAGTCTCTGTCCTAACAGCAGACTTCATTAACACGCATGACATGTGCTAATGTCACAATCACCCCAGAAGGTGAGTTATTATTTGCTCCATTTTACAGATGATGAAACAGATTCTGATTTATTTGCCTAAGGTCACACTGCTAGTAAACAGTGATATGGTGATGTGAAACTTGGTCCAATTGGTTCCAGCTATGCTTCTCTGTAATAACATGCCTCCTGTCTCAGGAATCACTACTGTGATCCTGAGAAGTCAGCTGATTTCTCTGGACATAGCTTCTTCCCTATCAGGAATGCGGTTTTTGTTAAAGCTGCCGGGCGAGCTGCATCCCTGCTCCCTCTTACCCAGTCTTATCTCACTGCATGACTCATGGGAGCTACAGCCTATATGCCACATGTGCTTGGGTCAAACAGGAGTCTCAGAGAATCCATCTAGCCCACTTTCATAATATAACTCCAAGGAACTGCCTGAGAAGAAAACATGATTGACTAATGAGAAACTCCACTCTCAGATTCCCATCAGTGTGGAGGAGAATAAATCAAAGAGCTAAGGAGGAGAAGGTGAATCCTGACTGTATGAGGATTAAATTAGAGTTTGTAAAGTGTATTTGGTAGACTGTTCATCTGGCAAATACATTGTTTTATAATTAAGAAAAGCTTTGTGACTTCGATTGCAAATAACACTTAATTGCTCCTCTTGTTAATTTGCTCTCATTAACATATTCTTATCATATTCTATTACATTCTTATTTTACAAAATATTTATTACATAATAACCAAGTTTTTCAAACATATGATTAGCTCTTGCTGGTTATCCCAACCTTTAAGTTCTTTTTGACAGTCCCAACATTGTCACCTCTTGACTGCGTTTTGCTGTACAAGCCTGAAGAGACGGATTTATTTCTTAAGAGCTGCCTTTGTAATACAAGTGGGATAGGGCAGGCCACCAAAGACACAGTCTTAAGTGTAAGTCGATCAGAATTTGAGAGCTTGAAGGGATCTAAGAATGTTAAAAATGCAGGTTAAGTCTTATTAAATGCTTTTCAACTTTTCTCAAGATGACCATACTGGCTTTCTCTTTATTAATATAATCAGTTGTATTTTAAATCATCCTTGTGTTCTAAGAATAAACTGTTTTTATCCTTTTAGATTTGACTTCCTAACATTTTAAGATCTTTAAATTTACAAACTTGAGTAATACTCATCTTTAGTTCTCTTTTATGTTGGCCTTATCCAATTTTAGTTTCAGAGTTACACTAACTCTTTCAATGAGCTGTTTAGCATTCTATCTTTCTCTGCTTTAAAACCATTCAAATAACACAGGAATTACCTATTCTTTGATGTTTTCATACCACTCACCTGTGAAACTATTTGAGCTCAGTATGTTTTCTGAAGGGGGATGGGACAGATTTCTTCTTTGGTTATTATTCAGGTGTCCTACCTATTTTAGAATCATGATTGCTAACCTATATTTTAGTAAAAAGTATATAATTCATCTAGATTTTCAAGTTCATTTCAGACTTTATTGACCAAGCTTTCTTTTTGTACTTTATGTCAGTTTTTTTAAGTTTTTGAATCTCTTGTCTTTCAGATGATTTTGTTAGTTTTCCTCTAGCGTTTTAAGATTAATGCTTGGTTCACTTCTATTTTGGTGTCTTAAATACATTTCTTAGACTTATTATACAAAACAACTTTAATTACACTTTGAATACTTCAATCAAATATTGCTTTGCTTATATTTTGATTTTTGATATCTGTTGCTTTCAATGTGACTTGTTGCTAAGTAATTTATATTCTAGCTTTTGCTTCCTCTTTAAAGACTTTTTAGAAGAGTGCTACTCAATTTCCACATAGGTAGATTTTGGATAGCTTTCTTTTTTATTTTAATTTATAGTTTTACTGCCTGGTTGCTAGAGAATGTAGGCTGTACAATTATCTACTTTTGATAACTTTTTGATTTTTGTATGTTTTTGGTTTTAGCACGTGTGTATGTGTGGCCTCATAACCAATTTAAAAATAGGTATTTGAAAATAATATATATCCTCTGTTTATTGCATATAATCTTGCATGTCTATTAAGTCAAACTTAATTATGACATTCTGATTACCTATACCTTACATTTTTTATCTGGTTTCCAAGAGGGATCTCTGTAAAATCTACTAAGAGCCATTAACTTCTCTTCAAACTTCTAGCAGCTTCTTTAATTTTTCAAGGCTATGTTGTTAACTTCATGACTAGCAAGCCTAAGACTCAAGCATGCAAATTATCAAGTTATGCTTTCAAATACTTCAGATTTCCAAAGTCTCCATCTTTCTTATTTTTGTAATTAACATTCCTAGGTTTATTTTTCTCTTCTTTCAACCATCTAATCACCCTTCAATAAATTACCTAGAATCCCTACTCACCCTGCATCTTCCGTTGCCCTGAACCAGTCACCAGCCTGTCACTTAAATGTAATACAATTACCATAACACCAAGAATTGTTTTTCTGATACCTTTTTTTTTACAGCTCTTTTCTATAAATTCTCTCATTAGATTTTATTTATTCTTCTCTGTCTCTATTCCATGTTTCTTTCACAGAGAAAATAAGGATAAAACTATAGACACTCAATTAATTAGAAGATTTTTCTGACATTACTTTTGAATTTTTAACTTTATCTATTTGAAAAGAAGTCTCTCTTGAATCTTTCCCTATGGTGTGCAACAGAGATCTATATATAATACTTTAACTAATTAACAAGCTTTTATGTATGATTGCACTGACAACACAGACAGACATTAAAAAAAAGCCTGCTCCAGAC